ATATCTTTGACACCACGAGTGGGGAGAGGGCTCTGGCCCTTAAGGCAGAGGAGACTGGGAAGCTAAGTATCCTGTGACACAGGGTTTCAGTCCCACACACGAGGGATTGCCCAGGTGAGCAGGTGTCCCTTGTAAGGCGCTCAGATGAATGGTTCGCTGTCTGGCATTTGATGCTTTTAGGATCATTTCTAATGGAGCATCTTAATAAAACTACCAGAAGGCACCCCTGATGGCCCACCACAGGTCTGCTACCTCTGACTCTCCACATACAGGTTAATATTTCCAGACGGTGTGGGCATCATGAATTTATTAACTGCTGACTAGAAATCCGCTCTTCCTTCTTCTCTGCCCTGAACTGGGTCTTTCATGCTTCAAGAGTGCCCACTGGCTCCCCTGTGGAGACTGCAGCCTTGGGACGCACTGGCCAGGGCCGGCCTCAGCCAGGACCTCATGTCATGGCCCCATGATGTCCATGGAACATGGAGTGGCTTTGTGTCCACAGATGGTTGAAACAAGCCTTTTACTGCAGACTCAGCCTTGATACGCATGCCCAGGGAAAGGACAGAAAACTCAAGGGTCACTTTCAACAAAGGTCACTTTCAACAAAGGACTTGCCCCATAGAAGAAACAGCTCATTTACTGATTGAGGAAGAAGCATGCAAATCCAATCAGGAAGTAATTGGATTTGAAGGCTTAAAACCTGGGATTGAATGTGGGTGCAGGAAATCCTTTCCATTTAAACATCAAGAAAAATAGAGCCTGCAGCTGCAAGAGACAAAGGTACCTGAAAACAATGTAATAACAAACAAGCAGAAAAATCAAGGACACTGTCACCTTCGCTTTGCGCTTGGGGGCACTTTTTATTAGCCTGCTGGGTTTAACCTGCTACTGGTGACTTTTAGCACTTAGACAAAGTCATTGATCAAAACATCTGTTCACATGTGAATCCAGCTGGTGAGCCAAGAAATTAAGTAAATCTACCAGGAGAAGGGGGTGGAGAGAGACAGAAAGGGAGGGAAAGGGAAGAGGAAGGGAAGGGAGGCCGGAGAGGAGGAGAAAAGGAGGAGGGTGGGGGTAGGGAGCGGGAGTGAGATCAAGAGCTCAAATCCATAGGTTCAGGGTTTTCCTAAATTATTAGTCTCCCTTGATGGAGAAATAAAAAAAAAGAAGAC